GCCGGGCCCCAGCCCAGGTCAGCCTGCCCAGCCAGGCCCTAGCTCCATGGACAGTAGACGGAGGGCACTGGGACCAGAGGGCCAGGCCCCGCCCCACGACAGGCAGGGTCTGCTGGCTCAGGCTAGTCAGCTGGGGGGTCTCATCAGTATTTTAGCTCCGGGGGCCGGGCCCTGCTTGGCCCCACTCTCCCCCCTGTGCCGCTGGGGCGGGCGGCAGTGCAGCCCCTGCCGGGTGGTGCCCGCACGGCCCCGGCCCTCTCCCTGCCCTGGGGGGGCAAAGGCTTCTGGGTAGCTGGGCCGGGCCGGGGCCTGTGTACAGAACCCTCCCCTCCCCACGCCCGAGCCTGCAGCCCTGTTGTGCACTCCCCTCCCGCAGCTCCAGCCACCAGTCTCCCTGCAGCCGCGGGCTGGGGGGCTGAGCTCCCCCCGCCCCGAGCTCTGGTCCCGGTTGCCCGGTGGGCCAGGGCCGGCTTGTTGGCGAGTCCTGCTGCCTCCCACCCGCTTCCTGCTGTAACTTATTGAATCATGAGACAGGTGATGGCATCTCTGGTACAGAAACAAGCCCCCTCACCCCCTTGGTTGGCACCTTGGCAAGCTTTGCCCCCAGCTGGCTCCTCGCTAGAGCCCTGCGCACGGTCCCCCGCCTGCCTGGCCGCCCCTTGGTTAGTTCACCACCTTCCTGCCATGGCCCCGCAGGCCTGGGACCCCCGGTGGCGACCGTTCTCCCTGTCTTGTTTTTATTTCCGTGCAGAGCTCTTTGTACAGTCTTAACCCCGGGAACGGCGGGGCCGGGAGCAGTTGTAGATTTGTGCCGTTTCTGTACATTGTGTCTCACATACAGAGTCCGTGTATTGTATTGTGCCTAGAGGGAAATGTTGTTCTATAAAGAGAAGACTAACGGAATTTAATAAAAAATTAATATGAAGCTTTTTCTCTGGGGCCCGGGGCCGTCCACAGACTCATAGACTTTAAGGTCAGAAGGGACCATTATGATGATCTAGTCTGACCCCCTGCACAGTGCAGGCCACAGAATCTCACCCACCCCTCCTAGAATAATCCTCTCACCTAGATCTCAGATATTGAAGCCTTCAGATACTTTTGAAGACCCCAAGATGCAGAGAATCCTCCAGCTGTGATCTGTGCCCCATGCTACAGGGGAAGGCGAAAAACCTCCAGGGCCTCTGCCAATCTACCCTGGAGGAAAATTCCTTCCCGACCCCAAATATGGCGATCAGCTAAACCCTGAGCATGTGGGCAAGACTCACCAGCCAGACACCCAGAAAGTTCTCTATAGTAACTCCTATCATCCCTCCATTGACCTATTTCCCACTGATAATGAATGGTCAATTAGTTACCAAGATCATGTTATCTCATCAACCCATCCCCTTCTCATAGAATCATAGAACTGGAAGAGATCTCAGAAGGTCAGCAAGTCCGTGCAGTTTGGGCCCCCTGGAGAGCCCTGGGGGGGGGAGCATCCTCAGGGCGCTCGCTGCTCGTCCCCTCCCAGCTGTCCCTGCGGCGCTGCCAGTGACCAAGCGTCGGCCTCTCCTTGCCAGGGCTTGTGCGTGCGTCCATCCCGGGGCCTTCGGGCTTGCCAGGGTCTCAGGGCCTCACTCGTGGACTAGGCCAGGCTGGGCTGCCAGCACCCAAAGCTGCTCTCTTGGCGGTGGGCCATGGCCCAGAGCCCGGCTCCTGTTCTCCATCCTACCAGCAAGAGGCTGAAGGAAACATTTGGAAAGGTTTGACCCCGAACTCCACGAGGTCACAGGAGGGACCAGACGTCACCTGCTGCCAGGCCTGTTCCTCTGTTCTCTGCGTGCGAGATCTCGCAGTGCAGAATGGCCCTGCCCCGCGGCGCCGTTTCCTCCAGCCAGCTCCCCGCAGCTGGAGCTGATGCTTGGGGGTCTCTCCAGTGAGGTTCGGGCTCTGGATCCCGAGCGGGTGCAGAGTGACCCCTGGGGCGCGGACTCACAGGAGCTTAGCGCCGATTGGAAGCGTCCTGCCTTGGCCGCTGGCGAACGTGGTGTGGTCCCGCTCCGACTAACTGAGCTTTTGCTTCAGGGAATAAAGGAACCAGATGCACAATGGGCCCCTTCTGCAGTTCCCTCCCCCAAATCAGAGCCGTGCCGGACGCTGGGGGCACTGCTTCTCCGTTCTTAACTTGCAGCTATAGCAGGAGAAGAGGCTCCAGCGCCTACGGGTGAGAGCTGCTTTGTGTCTGGCCCAGGGATTCATTGAGCCCTTGGCCCCAGGGCTGTGCAGCTTGTCTGACCCGCTGTGCAAGTGTGATCTGCCCCATCAACCAACCCTGCTTGGAGAATGCGTCTGGCCCTGGGAACATTGTTCCACCAGTTAATTAACCTCCCTGCTCTGGATTAGCTTCAGCTTCCTGCCCTGTCCGCACCGTGGTACGTCCAGCGTAACGGAGACACAGTTGATGGGACTGAGCCCCTCGGCTCATATGTAAGATCACTGGGTCCTGCCCCCTCTGCTACATTCGCACAAAAACTACAGTAGACTCTGATAATCCGGAACCTATGGGACCTAGGTGGTGCCGGATTATCAGATACACCTGTGACGTAGTGGGGGTACCTGGCTGGTTTCTATGCTGCTGGCTCTGGGGTAACCCCCACTGGCTGCCGTGGGTACCACGACCCAGCAAAACAGGATGAGTCACTATGCAAACCAGTATGGCCAGACACCGGGGTACCCCCCACTGGCTGCCGTGGGTACCACGACCCAGCAAAACAGGATGAGTCACTATGCAAACCAGTGGCCAGACACCCCCATGGAGAGGAACAAAGGAAGGTGGAATGCTTCCCTGGCTGGGGGGCAGGGCTGGAAGGGAGTTAGTTAGTTGCTGGCTGTCTGGGAGCATGGAGGAGACAGCCTAGGGAAAGGGGCTGGAGTTTAGGGGCCCCGTCTCCCCCATCTCAAGGGGGCCTGAGGCATCCTAGCCCAGCTCTGTGACCAGATTACATCTGTGCTGTGCTGTATCCTGGAGAGGCAATAAACTTCCTCTATTCCACTGGCTGGTGCAGTCTGTTTGTGCCATTTCGGGGTGCAGGAGACGGGGGA